AAGTCATTAACTAGTAGACTTTTAGAGGAAAGCGATCTTATGTTAAACAGACCGCATTTAATTGTTAACTTTTTCCCCAATTGGAGTTATTTTGATTTTAATTAGATTATCATGATTTACTCCTTTGGGAATCTTTGCTAATTTATTAGATTTTGGTCGTGGGCAAGACACTGTCTGGATGGAGTAAAGAGTGGGTAACAGTAGAGAAGCTGCAGAGATGTGTGTTAAACTACAACTCTGCTTCCTGGTCTGCACCCTGGGTGGTCAGGGTTTTGGAGGACTAATAAATGTGGCCAGATTCCTAGAAAGAAGAGCTGCACCATCCAAAGTGGGATGGATGCCGTCTCTCCGAATCAGACCAGGCTTTCCCCAAAAGGATTGCCAATTATTAATGTAGCCCACGTTGTTTTCAGGGCACCACCTAGACAATCATTTATCAAAGGTCATCTGTCAATCAGATGTTTCCGGTCATAGCATCATGATTCATATGTCGCCGCTAATATACGCAACGGTGGTCCTAATGGAATTTCCCATTGGGAACTTACTAGCACTAAGTTGCTAACTTGTTAGCAAGATGCTTCCGACAAACCGGCTGCAATCAAAAAAATCTTCCGCTACAACAATCCCGCCCCCTTGATAATCGACCAATCACATTCACTTTACTCACTTGTCTAAAGTCGGGCAGCACTCGGGATAATTCGGGAGAAATGGTTGGAACGGCCGCTTCCCTACTTTAATTTGAGCAGGTAAATAAGATGATCTGCCAGTGGAATGAGATTTCTTATTTTAAATGTAAATAGTCTTACTCCATTGGTAAAGTGTCTCACTTACCTTCTCAATTCATGAAAAAATTGACTTATTTTTACAGTGAGTAAAGATATCAGCCAAGGACTCACTAACGCTCCTGGCACACCCTGACGATTTAGACCGTTTTGTATAAGTTATGCTGAAGCACGTTGGGACGGGTCGACGTATTCCAGCATCTGCCATCCATGGTTCATCAGTTCCAGGTCAGTTACCTGATGGCTGACATCCGTTCAGTGTCAGTTCCTCATCAGTCGTGGCGTCTAGCTGATCCTAAACCTCTGAGTAACGTGTGCATAACTTTTGCGTAACTTATCCAGAACTTCTCTCCAACGCATATCAACATATCTGACGTGTTCCAGATGTGCGCTGAACTAGAGCCCTGCACTCCCACCCAACGCAAAGCAGAGTCATTTCGGGTGCGGGTGGGAGGGAGGGCACACAGTGTAGGCGGGAGCGGTGATAAGCGGCAGTACCGCGAACTAAAAACGTGTTTTAAAATGTAAAATAATGTAAAAAATTATGAGTCTATGTCATCATATATATACATCACAATGTGCTGGGTGTGGCTCCACATCATCTTCGTCCCCGCTTTACTCCTCTAAATAAAAAATGGATGACGGAGGAGACTCATCCACGCCCTCCGACACTAAACTCTCCTCCTCTTGCATGTTTCCGCTGTCCATAGCGTTCCTTGATAGCGTCGTTTCTAAGTCACCAATTTAGTGCTACTTGGTCCCAATGGAATTTCCCATTGGGAACCTACTAGCGCTAAGATGCTAACTGGTTAGCAAGATGCTTCCTACAAACCGGCCACAACCAAACGTGCTTGAGAACCTTCCACCACAACAATCCCGCCCCCTTGATAAACGACCAATCACATTCACTTTATTCACTCGTGTAAAGTGGGGCACCACTGGGAGAATTCGGAATTGCAACGGTTAGAACATCAGTTTCCTTACAACTTTAATTTAAAAAAAGGTCAAACCACCCAACACACACACAAACACACACACACACACACACACATGTTGTGTCACAATATCCTTGTGGGGACCTTCCATTGACTTCGATTCATTTCCCACTAATTTATATGGCCTAACCGTGACCCTTGCCCTAACCCTAACCATTACCGACACATACCTATCCCTAAACCTAACCTAAACTCAATTCACACCTTAGTCCTAAACCTAACCCCCACCCCAAGAAGAGAAACTTTCCTTATGGGGACCAGTTGTTGGTCCCCACAAGTACCTATGAGTCCCCAAAATCTAGCATATTCCTAGGAAATTGTCCCCACCACACATGGCCACACATCACACACACACACACACACACACACTATGTTTGATCTAACAAAATGAGTTTGAAATGTTTGTGCTACATTTGTGAATTATAGAGAGATTTTAACAAGCAGTATGCGTATTTTCATTCATCCTTTACACTAAATGTATTTAATTGCTTGTAAACAATAACTATTTGGCATTTTCTCTGTACCCAAATACAAACTTTCATCCGTATTTGGTACCAATATATCTCTTCAAAAAAAATATTAACAATGAAAGAGTGTCTTTTGCTCAAGCTGTGACACAGAAGTAAAATCTTAGTCCAAATTATTTTTAAGCACTGAAAAAGATCCTGAACCTGGAATTAATATCATGGTTTATTGAAAAAGAGATATTGAATAATTTAAAGCTGTTTGTCAGATGGGCCTGCAGTTAATGTCATGAAGCAGAAAGCAAAGGGAAACCATGTGGAAATGAGAAGTTGCAGAGGTCTGCAAAAGACAAATGACAAATGCTTCTACGCAAATAGCTCCACTTTTCTGCTTTCACACAGGATGTTATGATTATGCTGAAAACTTTAAGAAACATCTTAATGACAGCCTTCTGATGTGCAAAGGTAGCACAAGTATCTGATGCAAGCTTAGTTAGTTTTAAAGAAAAGGGACGACTGGTTGACCTTTTAAATACTTACCTTTGACCTTTGACCTTTCCTTAAATACTTTAAAACAGAAGCAGGACAAATTTGCGATACACAAACGTAGCACAAACATTTAACACCATTTTCGTTTGACTCCCTGAAATTTTTATAAATACTTTAAAAACGACGCTGGCGCAAATGACAACTTTTGATTATAATAAAGTTAAAAAATCCATCCACGGGATTTTGTTTCCAAGTTTGAAGACGTTTCTCTTCCATCCAGGAAGATTTTTCAATTCAAAATGTCAGAAATAGCGTTTAGTTCCAGGTTTTATCCAGCAGCCCAACAAAGCCTGGTTTTAGTTTAGAAAACATGCAAATAGAAACGGATGAATGGGTCCCCCCCTTTGTTAGCCTGCAATGCCCCATACCTGTCTATGTCTCTGAAAGGGGGGTGGTTAGAGGGAATTGTTGGCCTGGATGAACAGGTGAGGTCTTCTGTTCTCCTGTAAAGGGAAAAATGTGAACATTCTGGTCCTCCAAAGAATGTCCTTTGTCCATAAGGTGTAGACCACTTAGTCTTGTCTCGATGACAATCTTTTATGCTCAAAGAAACATTTTTATTTTTTTATTTGCATAAGGTGTGGGGGCCATCTTCACTTACCTGGCAGCTAAAGGCATGTTTTACAGCCTCTATACTCCAGTTAACGATCATTCGATTGCTAAACTTGTTTACTATTATTCAAATAATTAATTAATCATAATTAATCGGATTATTTCAGCTCTATATGTAACCCTCCTTTGAAAGGGACAAAACATAATTGGATAATTGACGGCCAGTTTGCGGGCCCTAACATGTTATTTTAATAATATAAAGAACCTGGAGTGGATTTGAGGGGTGGAGTACGGTGGCCCTGAAGTGCAAACTGCAACTACAAATCTAAAAGCGCAACTACATTAAGGAAAACACAATTACATTAACCTACCGGAAAAGGTAGGTACCAGTGGGAAACATGAGACATCGCTGATTGGACGACGGCGCCGTTTGACCCTTGAACCGGAAGTCATTCTGCCTGCTGCGGCTTTTGAAAACATGGATATTGTCAGCGCCCCAAACATAGCTGCCGTTATCCAGGAATATTTTGAATCAGGACATACGTACGAGGTGATACTGGATATGCTCAAGACTAATCACGAAATTTCAGTTAGTTTGCGTACACTGAAGACACACTTAAAAGAAGCTGGACTGTTCAGACGACGCAACTTCCGGTTCAAGGGTCAAACGGCGCTGTCGTCCAATCAGCGATGTCTCATGTTTCCCACTGGTACCTACCTTTTCCGGTAGGTTAATGTAATTGTGTTTTCCTTAATGTAGTTGCGCTTTTAGATTTGTAGTTGCAGTTTGCACTTCAGGGCCACCGTAGTGGAGCTTTGGGTCGGACATCACGAATTGATAATCGGTTATTTAAGTTCTCATATTTTGGATTCCTAGTTTCTATGCCCAGCTTACTGCAAAAATATCTTTAAAATGAGTAAAACATTCCTAAATGAGGTCCTCCAAAGAACACCTTTTGTCCATAAGGTGTAGATGCCTGCAGAGCTTTGTCCCGATGACAACTTTTGGTGCACAAAGAGAAATTTTTTAAAACCAATTTTTTTTTTTTTATTTGACTAAGATGGTGGTGGCCATCTTCACTTACCTGGCTTTACGTTAGAAATTTGGAACAGGATAGAAAATACATGCTAGCAGTTAGCATGCTAGACTTTTAAAAATTCTTCTGAGAGCAAATAGAACCACAACCACATGCTTAAAACATTTAATTCAATTCAATAAAATCAACAATAAAACATGTTATTAAATGTTGGGCAACATGAACAAACATGGCGCTAAATCCGTTAGCTTCATTGAAACATGTTGGTTCGGGTGTTAAAAAAAACAGCAGCTAGTCTCTGGTTTGGATCAGTTTTTTAATTTCAGGTTTAAGAAGATACATTTCTGAGAAAAAAGCTGCAGCTGGAAGGAGTTCATTTGCACCATAAAAAAAAAAAAAACTTTATTTTTTCGGTGCAAAACAGAAACAATAAAATAGCCCTTAAAAAAAAAAAAACGATGGTTGAAGGGCTGAGTCTATCGTTGGTCTTTAGATTCCTCCAACCGACCAACCATAATATGGAGAAATAAAAATATGTTTTTCTCTTGATCAGATATGATAACTGGTGGAAAAACCAACATTTCGTTGGTTTGGACTAAATCTGGATCCTCTCCTCTGCAGGTCTACGTGTCGTATGATTACGGAAGGACGTTCGCCATGATGTCAGCCAAGTTCAAGCTCTCGGAAGCAAAAAGCAGCAACGGCAGCAAGCAGGTCATCTCCCAGTTCTACCACAGCCCTGCGGACAACCAGAGGGTGAGTCTGTGAGCTTGTCTGGAGGAGCCATTCGCCTGCCGCAGTTACCTGCTCAGGTGGATTCACAGCAAACACCTAGAAATTCCCATCATTTCATCTGTTCGTGTGGCATCAACAGCGACGGAAAACATAGCCCCTCTGCAGCGGCTGCAAGATGAGGCGGAAATGTGTTTCGCTTCTTGAATTGGTTATGGCAAGGCAAGGCGATATAGCACAATTCAGTACAAAGAAAATGCAAAGTGCTTTACATGATTAAAATATAGGAAATTAAAACAGAATCAAAGCAAGTAGGGAAAAAAAAGAAAAAAAAATGCAGACTCCAACAATGACGTCTTTATCAACCCTGTTGCCTTTATAGTTCCTGGACCTACTTATTTCAAACACAACTTTTGAAACCACAAGATCCCCGACCTTGACAACGTGTAACAGCCAAAGATGCAGAAACAAAAACGAATATTAAAAATAGTTTTACATAGGAAAATAAAAAGTTGAAATAATAATGTTTTAGTTGAACTGTTTAACACCTAGACAATAGTTCAGGATGGTGGCAGCTGGTCTATGGTGGTGGCTCATTAGAGCAGCTGGCTGGACTATCCAGGCTGAACACATCAGGATGCTCACAGAGGCTGCTGGTTGATCACTTCCTGGAAGGGAGAGCAGAGTTATCAGCCTGAGTGCTGCTACACACTGTGGAGCTGTATCGATCGCATTCCTTTAAAGATAATAAAGCAATATTTCAAGGATGCTGAGTTATAAATGGTTTGAATTCGTACCAGCAGTCCAGTCATTTCCTCGGTCATCTGAGAATAAACTAAGGAACTTAAAGTACTTGGAATGTGGAAATATTTCTCCATTTTTTCTATTCTAGCTGAATATTTTAGGCATAAACAGGTGATATAATAAATGTCCTTTTCCCATCATTTATACTGGACCTCAGTCATCCTCTAGTTTTTCCTCCAAGCAACAAGTTTTCTAGTCCTTTATTTTTCAGAGTGACTGTTTTGAAATAATTAATCAGATTAATCGATTGTTGCAATAATCCTCAACGACTATCATAATGGATTAATCAATAACTGGAGTATAGAGACTGTAAAATCTGCCTTTAGCTGACAGAGCAACACAGTTAGAGCAGGAATTATACCAAGATTGTTAAAAAAATATAGAAACATTTTGCATTTAAGAAAAATAACTTTTTCATCTGTCAGTATGCTCTATCCAGAACTCCTTCCTAGTTTCACCTGGTTTAATTACACAACAAGTCTTCCATTAAGGCCCCGTCCACACGAAGTCAAAACGAACACGAAACGCTAATATTTTCCAGAACGTTTGTCGTAAAGACGGAGACGTAAAATAAATGTGATCGTCCACATGAATGCATGAAAACGCTGCAAAATGTATGCCAGGCCTGTAAGTGGCGCTGTGGTGCCAAAGCAAAAATAGGCGACGAAATGTTGGGCATGCGCAGTAATATTTATGCATGGTTGCCCTGTGTTAGGTTTAAACACCAAACATTTTATTCAGTAACCTGTACAAAGAAAGACACAGAGAATTTAGTATGATTTACTTGCAAGGAGAGTGATCAGAGACTGTTCAGTTACAATTCTCCAAAACACTCTGAAACAGCTCTGCCTTTACAAGCCTTTATTAAGGAACGCCCTAGCTACAATGTTGGTTCCGACTGCTAAAAGGGAGGAGGAGGTGAAAACCAGTCGGAACCAGAAGTTTTGCATCACATCATACAATATCATAAGATAAGGAGAGCTTCACTCCTCATCCGGTGTCAGTACGTGCAATTCTCCATTCTCCTTGACCTTGCTTCCTGCACACACTAATAACAAGCATTAGAAAGACAGCAAGTGAAACATTTCAACACTTTGTGTAATACAAGTATACAGGAATATGCAAATGTGTAAATATGAATGTATAAGTATAATATGATTAAAGTAGAATAACTTGTACAATTAATCCAACACCCTGCGGGTCCATTTTCGTGGTTCAGTCAAATTCAGGTGCTGAACTATGTGGTCGATATTGCTCTATTCTTCCTGGAGATATTCCAGAAGAAGAAGATTCTGTTGTAAGCCCGACAGCAGGGTGAGTAGCACGAGCAGCAACCATTCAACACAGTACGGCGCCATTGTTGTTGTGATACTGTGTCGCGCATGCGTGTTTAGAGGCGACGCTATGACGTATGCGTGTAACAAAAAATGCGGTCAGAGCTTAAAGATGGAAACGCGAAAACGGCGTTTCAAAATCTTCCCACTCTGAAGGCTTAATAAAAAAAAGATCGTTTACAGACCCCCGAAACGCCGGCTTCGTATGGATGAGAGGCTGGTTTGGTGAAAAATGTGTGCATTTAGGCCAGGGTTTGGCTTCATGTGGACGGGGCCTAAGGTTCTGTGGAGGATTTTTTAAAAGACCCGCCCTCTCCACTTAAAAAAAAAAAAAAAGTGCACGAGTCCATTTCTCCTCGTGCACGGCCTGTTTAAAAGTTGCTTTTCTCATAGCTCATAGAAGCTAACTGTTTCTACATACAGCGGGGACTATATAGTGAACTTTATAGTGAACTCAGTTAACTGACCGTTCAGACAGATGATCACTGCTTTTTGCTCCGTTGGTCACGTACCTCCTCCACCGCGTGGTGCCTGCGCCATCTTTATTAGTCGCCACTGTCTGGTAGCGGCAGCCTATGGCAGCAGCGGGCCGCTGTGACAGCAAATCCCATAATGCTTTGCGAGGAGAGCTTTCTGTGCAAAGCATTCTGGGATATATCTACCTCTTCTGAGGCCTTTCTTTTGTCATTCACATCGTATTTTTTTCTCTTACGACCGCGGTGAGAAAGGTGAGCTTCAATGACCGTCTGAAACCGTAGCTCTCCACAGAGATACACCTGAAACAAAAAGATAGCTAACGGGACGAAGACGTAGGACGGCCTTACGGAAACATATCACCAGAATGATTGACAATCAGGAGGACCACTGATTGAGATGATTCACCCAGAAATAAAAGATCCTCCTCTATACCTTTGGCAATCAGATTTTTAATCAATTAATTGAAAAAATTATCAACAGATTAATCAATTTGCAAAATAATGATTAGTTCAATTCTATTCAGTTTATTTCTATAGCTCCAATTCACATCATGTCATCTCAGGTCACTTTCCAGTTCACCAGATCATCTTTAACTTCACAATAAGCATGCTTGCAGCGACAGTGGAGAGGAAAAACTCCCTTTGAACAGGAAGAAACCTCCAGCAGAACCAGGCTCAGTGTGAGCGGCCATCTGCTGAGGCCCACTGGGGTTCAAGGAGACAGAAGCAGACATAGAAAAAGAAGCATAGATACAAAAGGCAACTGTCAACCAGCTCCACAGGCGGCCCCGTCCAGGAAACACACAGCCAGGCAGACGAGCTCCGAGCCAGCTCCCATGTCAGAGGATGAAGAGAGCACATCCAGTTAGTCACAGTCAGAGAAACAGGACTACACTGGAAAACAGGCCAAGCTCCAACATCTAGAAACAAAGGTGTTGATGGCAGCAGCACAGCTGATATTTCTCTCCAGGATGGAGTCACAGCCAAACAGGAACAGACCAGATGAAGCTACCAGAGTAGCTTGCTGCAGTCCTAGTTTCCTTGACATATCTTAAAGTTTCTCTCGTTCTTCCTCCTCAGTATCTGTTTGTGGACTCTACCAACAACTTCCTGTGGAACACCTTCGACTTCTGTCAGACGGTCCAGGGTTTCCCCATCCCCTTCAAACCCACTGACCTGCTGCTTCACTCCAGCCAGCCTAACCTGGTGCTCGGATACGACGGCTCTCATCCCAGCAAACAGGTTCATCTTCTTCTTCGTCTCTTTGTAAAATCTTTTCTTGGTAGAGGCCAACCTTTGAATGGTTTTGAACCGGAGCCGCAGCAGGAGAGCTGCTCCAGCTCAACTCCTCTGACTCTACCTTTAGATTTTCTACATAAACCTGTAAAATTGATGATTTAATATTTTGTTTTTAGCTCTCAGAGCAGCATTTGGTAACTCTCCCTCCCTGCTCAGAGTTTTCTGACATCAGGAGGCTGTTAGCTATTGTTGTTCTGTTGCTTTTTGTTCAAACACAAAACCATCTCCTTGTCATGTGTGTGAGAGCCAGAGCATAGCAATGAGTCTGACCTACATTTTTAAAATGCACCATCCCCCTCCTCTCCTTCTCCCTTCTTCTCCCACCTCTCCTCTTCCCTTCCTCCTGCTCCTCCCCCGCCGCCCTGCGACCCCCCCGATGCTGTAGCTGTGGAAGTCAGACGACTTCGGGGAGACATGGGTGTTGATCCAAGAACATGTGAAGACCTACTTTTGGTAAGACGGCGGCTGTGTCTGCTTATGCACAGAAGTGTGAAAATAATCCCTATGTGAGAAATATGCTGGTGTTTCCCTGGATGTAGCATGAACTGCAAACAGTGATTAAAGAATATGGAAAAATAATAATCATGCTTAATTAAGCAGGTAAAAAATGAGATGATGTTTTTAAATAGATAAAAAAAACATCTAATTCTGCTGTAAAACTCTTTTTCTCACCTGCTCAAATCCAGAGAAATGCTTTTAGTTTTTTTTTTTGCAGTGAAATTTATCTTTTAAAAGACACCAGATGAGTTGGTTAGAAAAACTTTTTTTTTTATTTATTTAAAAAACAAAAATATAAAAACATTTCATATACGCCGCGGAGGGAAACATCAAACAACTAAACATTAAAAGTTGAAGCTACTAAAGGAGCGTCTATGATGAGCTTTCCCGGTGCAGGTACCGGATCTGTTTGGGGTTCCGCCCCTTCTTATGACATCATCATATGGAAACTCCACTCGGACAAACTGTGTTTCACCCTTTTCTTAAGGATCAGATCTGTTTTGGACTCTCAGTATTATTACCAACTATATTGGCTCTTATTTAACATTTCAACATATTTTACATTTCATTCATTTCATGCGATCTAAAGAAGCCGAAAGTTGAAAACAATCATGTGAATCTTGACTGGTTTATGATCAGAAACCAGGTCGTCTGCGTGGGTGTTGTAGTTAACGCAGACATGCCCCCCTCTTCCGCAGACACCTGATGCACCTCCTCAAAATTTCAGGTGACCGCAGACAGGAGGCCTCTGATTGGTCAATTCTACGTCCGCTCTACACTATGCGTACTTCCTGTTTGGTACCTAATGGCAGAAACTCTAGCTGTAGTGCCGTCGGACACCTTGGACACTATCCCAGACACCGTGCAGTATGCTAGTTAGCTCTGTGCGACGGTCTGTTGGTTTGCACCCGAAACCAAAACTCGCAGCGCCACGGCCGGTCTTTGGGGAACAATCACGGCTGAACTGTGTGTTGTCCGGCGTTGGATGAGGGGTTTTGGATGCCGAACAAGCTCGTCAATCCGACACACGGACACCATCAATCCTAGCTAGTTCCTGATTGTCCCTCTAGCGTTGCGGTGTGGAATAACATAGCTCGGACCACGCTTCATAATTGGGCATAAATCAAGAATATCTACATCATACCTGCGACAAGCTAACTGCGACACACTGCTGCGGGAGATAACCAACCTTTAAGGCAGACTGAGCTCTACCATTTAACAACCTCAACGTCTGTCGTTGTTTCCTGCGTCCTGATCAGACTATCGTTTGTCGTATCCGCTTCCCAAAAGCCGACTCTGTCAGGTAAATTCACCAAAGGCTGCCTTCTTCGCCTGACTCTCCGCACGCTTCCTAAATGTTACGAGCGCCGCCATGTTGGTTTGCTTGTTTACCTCAGTACTCAGTACTACCGTAGATCGCCACTAGGAGGCAAGGAACCGTGCTAGTATGCTGTGTCAACGGCCTTAAGGAACCGAGCTCGTCATGGTTAACTGATCCAAGGTCGGCACGGATCGGTTTTCAGAGGGTAGTGGTACTGGGGCAATAGTTGAAGTGATCCTATGGTGACGATCAGAGACCAGTGAAGAAGATCACAGACCCTCTGATCTTTCCAAGGTGGAGAACTTTACAATAAACTATGTTTTGCTCCGATGTGAAGATCGACTTTTTTTCTAATTGCTTCTTTTCTCTGGATGTATTTTCATTCATCCATTTTCCATCAATCTTATACCGAACAGACTGTCTACGGGCGAGAGGTGGGGTGCAACCTGGACAGAGTGGGGGGTGCACCCTGGACAGAGAGGGGGGTGCACCCTGGACAGAGAGGGGGAGTCCACCCTGGACAGAGAGGGGGAGTCCACCCTGGACAGAGAGGCGGGGTACACCCTGGACAGAGAGGGGGGTGCACCCTGGACAGAGAGGGGGGGTCCACCCTGGACAGAGAGGGGGACTCCACCCTGGACAGAGAGGCGGGGTACACCCTGGACAGAGAGGGGGGGTGCACCCTGGACAGAGAGGGGGAGTCCACCCTGGACAGAGAGGCGGGGTACACCCTGGACAGAGAGGGGGAGTCCACCCTGGACAGAGAGGGGGAGTCCACCCTGGACAGAGAGGCGGGGTACACCCTGGACAGAGAGGGGGGTGCACCCTGGACAGAGAGGGGGAGTCCACCCTGGACAGAGAGGCGGGGTATACCCTGGACAGAGAGGGGGGTGCACCCTGGACAGAGAGGGGGTCCACCCTGGACAGAGAGGCGGGGTGCACCCTGGACAGAGTGGGGGGTGCACCCTGGACAGAGAGGGGGAGTCCACCCTGGACAGAGAGGCGGGGTACACCCTGGACAGAGAGGGGGGTGCACCCTGGACAGAGAGGGGGAGTCCACCCTGGACAGAGTGGGGGGTGCACCCTGGACAGAGAGGGGGAGTCCACCCTGGACAGAGAGGCGGGGTACACCCTGGACAGAGAGGGGGGTGCACCCTGGACAGAGAGGGGGAGTCCACCCTGGACAGAGTGGGGGGTGCACCCTGGACAGAGAGGGGGGGTCCACCCTGGACAGAGAGGCGGGGTGCACCCTGGACAGAGTGGGGGGTGCACCCTGGACAGAGAGGGGGGGTGCACCCTGGACAGAGAGGGGGATTCCACCCTGGACAGAGAGGCGGGGTACACCCTGGACAGAGAGGGGGGTGCACCCTTGACAGAGAGGGGGGGGTCCACCCTGGACAGAGAGGCGGGGTGCACCCTGGACAGAGTGGGGGGTGCACCCTGGACAGAGAGGCGGGGTACACCCTGGACAGAGAGGGGGGTGCACCCTGGACAGAGAGGGGGAGTCCTCCCTGGATAGAGAGGCGGGGTACACCCTGGACAGAGAGGGGGGGTCCAACCTGGACAGAGAGAGGGGGTCCAACCTGGACAGAGAGGGGGGTCCACCCTGGACAGAGAGAGGGGGTACACCCTGGACAGAGAGGGGGGTGCACCCTGGACAGAGAGGGGGAGTCCACCCTGGACAGAGTGGGGGGTGCACCCTGGACAGAGAGGGGGAGTCCACCCTGGACAGAGAGGCGGGGTACACCCTGGACAGAGAGGGGGGTGCACCCTGGACAGAGAGGGGGAGTCCACCCTGGACAGAGTGGGGGGTGCACCCTGGACAGAGAGGGGGAGTCCACCCTGGACAGAGAGGCGGGGTACACCCTGGACAGAGAGGGGGGTGCACCCTGGACAGAGAGGGGGGGTCCACCCTGGACAGAGTGGGGGGTGCACCCTGGACAGAGAGGGGGGGTCCACCCTGGACAGAGAGGCGGGGTGCACCCTGGACAGAGTGGGGGGTGCACCCTGGACAGAGAGGGGGGGTGCACCCTGGACAGAGAGGGGGATTCCACCCTGGACAGAGAGGCGGGGTACACCCTGGACAGAGAGGGGGGTGCACCCTTGACAGAGAGGGGGGGGTCCACCCTGGACAGAGAGGCGGGGTGCACCCTGGACAGAGTGGGGGGTGCACCCTGGACAGAGAGGGGGGGTGCACCCTGGACAGAGAGGGGGGGTGCACCCTGGACAGAGAGGGGGAGTCCACCCTGGACAGAGAGGCGGGGTACACCCTGGACAGAGAGGCGGGGTACACCCTGGACAGAGAGGGGGGTGCACCCTGGACAGAGAGGGGGAGTCCTCCCTGGATAGAGAGGCGGGGTACACCCTGGACAGAGAGGGGGGGTCCAACCTGGACAGAGAGAGGGGGTCCAACCTGGACAGAGAGGGGGGTCCAACCTGGACAGAGAGGGGGGGTCCAACCTGGACAGGTCTCCAGTCCATCGCAGGGCAACACAGAGACAAACAACCATTGACACACACTCAGAGCTAAGGAGGATTTAGAGAAGCCAATTAACCTAACAGTCATTTTTTGGACTGTGGGACGAAGCCGGAGTACCAGGAGACAACCCAGGCATGCTCAGGGAGAACATGCAAACTCCATGCAGAAAAACCCCAGCCGGGAATTGAACCCAGAATCTTCTTGCTGCAAGGCAGCAGTGCATCACTGCGCAGCCTCTGTATTTTCATATTTTTCCTAATGAAGTCCATCCTGGTTTGACAGAGTTCAGAGCGCCGTTTTTTTTTTTTTTTCTAGGATGCCTGAAGGATTTCTGTGTGGAACGGCCAATCAGGTTCCTCCCTGAAAGGCTGTTTGTTTAACAGAGTCTTCCAGGATGTGAATAGAAACCAGCACTTCTCTCCTCTCTGTCCAGATATTTAAATTCTGCTGATCTGCTGTTTCCTCTCCCAGCAGGATTTTGATAGATTGGAAACCAGCGTAGATTTATCACACATAGATCAGACCTGAATTTGGATGGATTATAACTTTATTTGTAGCTGGATTGAGTTGATTTAATCCTCGACCCGCAGCATCAGATTAAAGCAACTCTACAGCATGCTGGTTAGCAAGGATCATCTTAGGAACTCTGCTTTGACCTTATTTGAGAATATCTTCTTAGAAAGACGTCTTCCTCCCTCTGAAGCTCTTGTTTCTAGCGGCTCCCTGACAACACAGAGCAGCTGATTTTAATCTGGGCGTTACGCAACGCTCTGTTACAAATACTTCCTGATGTGAGCTGCACTGCAAAAACTGAAAGCAAAGTCAGTTTTTCTTGAAAGGAATCTATTTCCCTTTGATTTGGGCAGATGACTGAGACAGTTTGCCAAGAGAATAAGATCACTTAGGTTGAAATAAGAAAAGAAAAAACATTATCTTTTTTTTAAGGACATGAAGTCTAATTTTTAGGCATCTGTTGCTGGTCCTCCTGTTTGCTTCTTTAAAGTCAGTCCTGTGAATCAAAAATGATAACTTGCCCTATAAAGGGTTATCTGGAGTAAAGAGACTCTAAAACATGCCTGTAGCCAACATAGCGGCCCACTTAGAGCAGGAATTATACCAAGATTTATGTAAAAATAAAAAATAACAGGTGAATAT